CAGATCCTTGTGTTTTATACATGTGAAGTCATTACATGAAAAGCAAAAACCTTTCCAAATCATGAATTCTTAGCCCTGGTTCACACCAATGCGACTTGTCATGCCACTTGACAGTTAAAAAAAATGTATGACAAATCACACCCTATTTGCGGCAATGGAAGTGTTTAAATCGCTGCGACTCAAGTCACAGCAATGCTGAAAAAGATTCCTACACACTTTTCTGCAATGTCATTGTGACTTGTATTGACTTCTGCTACATGAAGTCGCAAGCCGTAATGAAATCACACAACAAAATCGCACCGATCGGCAGCTTTGAAATCACAATTTCAAAGCCGCATGGGTGTGAACCAGATGTAAGTGAAGAATGTATACTACAGTAAATTGTCCATCATAACTTCCCAACACCCTACTTCTGTTGTAAAAAGTGCCAGCCAAGCCATGCTTCCAATGCGCATGTGTGAGGCCCACTCTGTTCTTACCTATGGATGGAGCTGTCCTACAAGTGGCTGTTTTTTTCTCTTTTTTTTTTTTATGTTAGGTTGACTTTAGCTCTAATGAAGAGGGTACATCTTTGAAATTCGTAAGCCAGAATGTTACATTAAGTCAGTGCTCATGCTGGAGGTCTAGCGTTGAGGATTGGAAAACTATGCCTGTTAGTCGGGGACTTTATGGATAAACTAATGACATGCATGTACATATGGTTCTTTTGCGACTATAATATATAAACAAAAAACTCTTTTTATTGAGGATTTTCTATTATGTCAACGTGCTGTTTATTTTTAATTTTATTTACAAGTGAGCTGAGACCCATACCCATGTGAAAGTGTTTTGCAGGCAACAGGTATCATGGGTCTAAAAAGAGCCCCAATGCCTGCCCAGCACCTAGCTCAAGCAGCCAATATATATATATATATGTATATATACATATATATATATATATATATATACACACACACATATATATACACACACACATATCCATCTCTATCTCTATCTCTATATCTATCTATCTATCTATCTATCTATATACACACACACACACATATATACACAGGTGAAACTCGAAAAATTTGAATATTGTGCAAAAGTTCATTTATTTCAGTAATGCAACTTAAAAGGTGAAACTAATATATGAGATAGACTCATTACATGCAAAGCAAGATAGTTCAAGCCGTGATTTGTCATAATTGTGATGATTATGGCTTACAGCTCATGAACACCCCAAATCCACAATCTCAGAAAATTAGAATATTGTGAAAAGGTGCAATATTCTAGGCTCAAAGTGTCCCACTCTAATCAGCCAATTATGCCATAACACCTGCAAAGGGTTCCTGAGCCTTTAAATGGTCTCTCAGTCTAGTTCAGTAGGAATCACAATCATGGGAAAGACTGCTGACCTGACAGTTGTGCAGAAAACCATCATTGACACCCTTCATAAGGAGGAAAAGCCTCAAAAGGTAATTGCAAAAGAAGTTGAATGTTCCCAAAGTGCTGTATCAAAGCACATTATTAGAAAGGTATGTGGAAGGGAAAAGTGTGGAAGAAAAAGGTGCACAAGCAGGAGGGATGAGCGTAGCCTGGAGAGGATTGTCAGGAAAAGGCCATTCAAAAGTGTTGGGGACTTTCACAAGGAGTGGACTGAGGCTGGAGTCAGTGCATCAAGAGCCACCACACACAGACGGATCCTGGAAATGGGCTTCAAATGTCATATTCCTCTTGTCAAGCCGCTCCTGAACAACAAACAATGTCAGAAGTGTCTTACCTGGGCTAAAGAAAAACAGACCTGGTCTGTTGCTCAGTGGTCCAAAGTCCTCTTTTCTGATGAGAGCAACTTTTGCATCTCATTTGGAAACCAAGGACCCAGAGTATGGAGGAAGAATGGTGAGACACTGAATGGAGACACACTGCAAGATGCTTGAAGTCCAGTGTGAAGTTTCCACAGTCTGTGTTGATTTGGGGAGCCATGTCATCTGCTGGTGTTGGTCCACTGTGCTTCATTAAGTCCAGGGTCAACGCAGCCGTCTACCAGGAGATTGTGGAGCATTTCATGCTTCCTTCCGCAGACGAGCTTTATGGGGTTGCTGACTTCATTTTCCAGCACGACTTGGCACCTGCCCACACTGCCAAAAGCACCAAAACATGGTTCAATGACCGTGGGATTACTGTGCTTGATTGGCCAGCAAACTCGCCTGACCTGAACCCCATAGAGAATCTATGGGGCATTGTGGAGAGACATGAGACTGAACAATGTAGAAGAGCTGAAGGCCACTAGTGAAGCATCCTGGTCTTCCATAACACCTCAGCAGTGCCACAGGCTGATAGCTTCCATGCCACGCCGCATTGAGGCAGTAATTGCTGCAAAAGGGGCCCAAACCAAGTACTGAGTACATATGTATGCTTATACTTTTCAGAGGTCCGATATTGTTCTATGTACAATCCTTGTTTTATTGATTGCATGTAATATTCTAATTTTCTGAGATTGTGGATTTGGGGTTTTTCATGAGCTGTAAGCCATAATCATCACAATTATGACAAATCACAGCTTGAACTATCTTGCTTTGCATGTAATGAGTCTATCTCATATATTAGTTTCACCTTTTAAGTTGCATTACTGAAATAAATGAACTTTTGCACGATATTCTAATTTTTCGAGTTTCACCTGTATATGTAGCCTTAGATTTTAAAATTATTACTGCACATTGATCTGTAAGAAATTACCTCCCTGTACATAACTGAAGGTTACCAAAGAATGTCCTGGACTTCTTTGTCAATAAATCTTTATAGAATTTTACAACACAAAGATATGGCATGAGCCAATATGTGCACAGTAGAAAAATACACTACATTATATAGTTGGCTGAAGAAAAGATTGAGAACAGTAAAGGCCCGACAGAAAAATCAAGCATGTGCATAGTAAGCCTTATAGAATAAGATGCCTCTCACTGGAGCAATCAAGGTATGATTGCTGAACTGGAAAAAGTTCCAACATAGCAGAATATAAAGTAAAAACATTTCTAGAGAATCAATGGAGACTCATAGAAAAGAACTGATGTAGACATGATGTTTGCTGAATGGTCTAAGGCTAGGCAACCTGGAAAAGGACTACAAGTTCCATCATGCCTCTGCAAGTCATAGCTGTAACTGTCAGTTTTGTAATGTTGCAAATGTGTCATGGGAAATGTAGTTCCACAACAGCTAGAGAGCCGCGGTTGCCTACCCTGGTCTAGGGGAAGGGGGCAAGCAAAAAAAAAAAAAAAAATCTGGAAACTTGTTGAAGCTTCAAGGCTGGGAGTGAAAAAAAAAATGCAGGGGGCAGCAGAGGAGGTCGGCCAGGAGGGAAGAAAGGACTTGGGGGGACAGAAGGGGGGGGGGGGTAGAGATGGAGAAGAAGCCAGATGGTGGAGAGGATAGTTTCACTACCTGGGAACCTAACAGTCAATATTTCCAGAGCACTGATGAGAAAATTTAGAAATGATTGGGTTGCAAGTAATCTATCCACGGGGTCCAAACTTTAAAGAATGAGTCATATTTATCCTCCACTAGGGTTGTCATACCAGTCAAGAGAAGTTTGACTGCATGAAAAGTCATTGACAAGGACTTCCAGGAATGAGCAATGGTTTTTTAGTAGCATTGAAAATGATACCAACCAGTTTCCCTGTTTTTTGGCTCTCAGCCTGATGGGGTTATTCAACAAGGTCTCAACTGGATCCTTGCATAGACTACACTGGAAGACCGATTTTATTAATGTGTAAAGGCTAATCTACAACTAATCACCGTCAGACATGTCCACCGTATACAGTGAAGGAAATAAGTATTTGATCCCCCTGCTGATTTTGAATGTTTGCCCACTCACAGAGAAATGATCAGTCTAAAAATCAAATGGTAGGTGTATTGTAACTCTGAGAGACAGAATAGCAAAAAAAAAATTCAAAAGAAACGCATGTCTAACAGATTATGCACTGATTTGTATGTTCATGAGGGAAATAAGTATTTGATCCCCTATCATTCAGCAGGATTTCTGGCTACCAGGTGTCTTTCATACAGGTAACAAGCTGAGATTAGAAGCAGTCTCTTAAAGGGAGTGCTGCCAATCTCATATTGTTACCTGTATAAAAGACACCTGTCCACAGGAGCAATCAAACTCAATCAATCAAAATCAAATCAGATTACAAACTCTACACCATGGCAAAGACCAAAGAGCTGTCCAAGGACGTCAGGAACAAGACTGTAGACCTATATATCAAATAGAATGGTGCAGCGCTAAATAATAGAACACAGTTTATACACACAATATATTAGTGCGAATTCATACACATGCGTGATATCACTCTAATGGTGATCTGTAAATATAAAAGTTCAATATAATAGTGCGGATCATGAGGAGATCCTAATTCCAGGTGAGTGGATGTCCTGATCCAAGGTGTGATAATAGGTGTGAAACACACAAATAGGTGAAAAACGCCCTTCATACTTCTCCTTAAAGTAATCAAATGACTTAACGCCATTACAGGTAAGGAGGGAGTAGACATCAGTAAAACCTTTGGGGATCCACCATTGATATCTTGAAGGAGCATCAAATCCCGGGGGAAAGATAAGACAGTGGGTCAGATTAAGGAGCTGTAAGTGGGGAGAGATAAAACCACTTGAATATGCAATAGCGTCACATACTTTGAGAGATTGCTCTACAGAAGGGGTAATGAGAAACAGGTGGTGAATAAGCCATATCAAAAACTCACACGGCTGTTGAGTGACAATCTATCGCATCCAGCAATGGTCAAATAGGGGTTTCAGTAGTGGCATGTAGGCACGTAAGTGGGGCAAATTGTTCTGCTCTATAATAATGAATTAGACAAGGAACCCCTAAGCCGCCAATAAGCCTGTGTTGCTAGAGCGTTTGCCTGTTGACCCGAATGTCAAGGACTTCTACTGTACACCAACCACATAAGATACATATAGATCATATAGAAGAAAGAAATGGCTAAGAGTACCAAGCAACTCACCTGTCGGCTTCCAAACTTTGAGGAGGAACTGCTTGTACTCCGAGATGGAGATAGCATTTTCTGGGACACTCCCAGGTTCCTTTCTTCTCCCATTATTGATAATCAGAGGTGGTCTCAGGAAATGTAGCAGCATTCACTAAGCCGGGGAACTCTGGATAGACACAATTTCTCACTCATCTTCTATGAAGCATGCATACATTCCATCGGCACCTAGTGAGATAAAGAAAAGTAATACATCAGAGTTAAAAAAGCTAGGCTGTTTTAATTCATACTACCCTACAAAAAACTCATGTGGAAAAAACACAGTCTACTGTACAAAAGCAATGATATACTTTTGTAGGGCAATTCCATCCCTTTCCGTAAATTCACTCCCAGAACGGAAGAGAACAGCCTGTTATCTGTGAGAATGGTGGAGCATGTGCATCGCTACCTCTCCTCTCATGTGACAGCACTGTTTTTTGGCAATTGGTTGCCCAGGCACTGCTGCTAGCACAATGAAGGAAAGGACAGAATCCTCAGCCCTGTGTAAGATCCCTTTAGCACTAGATTGGAGCTTACCATGGACTTCTTCTTACTCGTATAGGTGAAGGTAGAAGTGAGGGAGTAAAGGGAAACAAAATATAAACAGCTGTGGTAGCTGAAATTAACAAGAACCTGTTGCTATGACTCCATGGGCAAAACATAGGTTCACTTTAAAGACAAATTCCTCAGAAACTGATTTGAACTCTGAATCACATGCCAGCTCTTATATGTCTTATCAGAGATTCCAATGTTGAAATATCATTGGACCATGTAAAGTTATCAGGAAAACACCATCATGAGGCCAACAGATTATGTGAGGAAAATATTTATTTAAAGAGGTCATTTCTCCTTTTTGAATCTACTCAGATGATGTGTAAGAGGGAACAGCTTAGAATACATTTTTTTACTTATGCATGTTAATCTATTTTAAACAAATCTTGTTACTGGATAAATAAATAAAAATCACTGAGGTAGCAAACCCCTTATAAACCAGCAGATTTTTAACTGCTGCAATTCTTGAAGCTTTTCTTGAAACTATGGGTTTGGGGAAAATCAGGGCGCGGACTGACCATTCAAGCACTCGGGCACTGCCCGAGGGCCCGGGGTCAGTAGGGGGCCCCATGAAATGCCCCTGGTACCTTATTTATAGGCTTTTTTGAGTGTGGGCAAGGACACAGGGCCCCATGATCCCCTATTGCCCGGGGGCCCCATGAGTTGTCAGTCCGCCCCTTGGTGAAAATACACTATTATGATCTGTTTAAAGCTGCCCATAGATGACTGTTGCTTGATAAAACCTAAGTGCATTATCAGACTTTTTTGACAGACCCATTGTTTGTGAAAAAGTCAATCCTCCAGGCTAGATTTTCCTACCAAATGCTACTGTACACAGAGACCTTCTCCGTGCATACTTGGTCAAACAAAGCACCTATACCAATATCATAATCAATCCAAAGGACAAATCTCGAAAAGGTCGGTATTCCATTTGGTGTCTCATGTTTAGAGGTGGTATGGCATATAACAGGCAGAAACATATCTGCCTCTCCTCAAACAATATGGTAAGTTCCAGCACTTGGTATATGATTTTTCCAACAAGAGGAAATAGCAGTCATCCATGTGGTCAACTAGTTTTTCAGCAGAACTTCACTCTCAATCAGCATTCACTATTTTTAATCCCTATGTTACTAGCATTAGTAATATGTACTATGTTTAAATCTATTTTTACATTTCTTCAGTTACTTCCTTTCCATGTCTAGGCAAATGATGTCATACAGTACATCCCAGGAGTCTTCAGCAGTGGAGAAAGACTTTTCTCAGCTAAGCACACCCACCTGCCTGCATGCCTGAGCAAAGGGTAGATGGATTCCAGGAAGTAAATGCTACATGAATCATCTTGCCTTACTCAAGATGGTCACGGTCAGAAATGCTAGGCGCCGTTTTTCAAAAAAAGCATGGAGACACGGATAGATGGGTGAGTTTGTTCTGAATATTAAAAATTAATTACATTGTGTTTTTGGCTTGTGGTGATCAGACGCAGTGTTGTTCCGCTTTCACTTCACTGTTCAGAATAGGGAAGGATTTGTCCACACAATGCCTTAAAAGCTCCATAATCAATAACAAGAGTTTCCAGCATCAGAAGCACAAATTATCTCCTAGGTCAGGTGTGAACAGGCTGTTGAATGAGGAGAAGAATTGGCTGTGAATGGCCACCTTAAAGCTTTCCATACATGCAATGATTTCTCTCATTCAACCCACTGAGAAATCCATAGATTCCCTAACCACAGTAAACAGCTTGGATGGATTGCCAGGAAGGCCATCATAAAGAGTTGGAAAAACACAGCAAAACCCTCTATCTTATTTTGCAAATACCTGATGAACGCCAAGCTTCCTTCCAGTGGTGGACTGACAACTCATGGGGCCCCCCGGGCAATAGGGGATCATGGGGCCCCTGTGTCCTTGCCCATACTCAAAAAAGCCTATAAGAAAGGTACCAGGAGCATCTCATGGGGCCCCCTACTGACCCCGGGCCCTCGGGCAGTGCCCGAGTTTCCAAATGGTCAGTCCGCCCCTGCTTCCTTCATATAAAGACACATATGAAAACGGAGGACAGGACATAAACTGACAAATGTGTGTCTAAGATGGTTGGAGGACTCATCGACAGCAATAGACATTGGGGGAGATTTACTAAAACTGGTGCACTCAGAATCTGGAGCAGCTGTGCATGGTAGCCAATCAGCTTCTAACTTCAGCTTGGTTAATTAAACTTTGGCAATAAAACCTGGAAGCCAATTGGCTTCTATGCACAGCTGCACCAGATTTTTTACTCTCCAGTTTTAGTAAATCAACCCCATAGTACACGGATGTCAAACTGGTGGCCCTCCAGCTGTTGCCAAACAACAAGTCTCATGAGGCAGTGCAAGATTGACAGTTACAAGCATGACTCCCAAAGGCAGAGGCGTGATGGGACTTGTAGTTTCACAACAGCTGGAGGACCGCCAGTTTGACACCCTGCCATAGTATCTTTGAAGCTTTCAGTCTGACACTTCAGCATGTTCTCTGCCTTGTATCTACCTCTCAGGGAGACCTGGAATTAATGCGATGCTCTTCTATTCTTAACCTATATGATGTGGATTAGTACAGTAATTGAGCTGAACAAATTTAGTTGTTTCTTCTGCTGGTAACTGTAATTTCATTGACAAGTGACCTCTCCTGCGTGGGCTGTGCCACTTGGAGTATGTAACAATTTTCAAAAAAGAATAAATGGATTTATTTAAAAGAAAAAAAAAAAAGCGTGAAGGGATTGATGTTTGTTGAGCTGGGTCATGTCACCAGGGCTATCAACACCTTGCATTCTGGCCAATTCACACTTATGTAACAAATACCACTGATTACAAAGCGGCAAAGTATTGCCATCCCTCAAAATGGGCTGCGCCTGTGATAAGCAGAATGACAATACATTCAGGTTATATCAAAGCCTACATACCCAAGTTTGCCCGCAGACAAGCCCAAAAAAAAACGGATAAGTAGCACAACTATAAATAGTGGGAGCCTAGGGAAATATTAATAGAATTTTCAAATGGAGAGCCAAAAGGCAGTAAATGAAGAAAAAGCCCTCGCCACGGGATTTCAGTGTGGGAACCCATTGCCATGGAGATTAAGCACTTTTTGTAAAGCAACAATTTAAAAATAGGACAATACCTGTAAGGTTGTACTGCATGTGCACAAAGGTATTTTTAACACAGAAACAAAACACGTCATACATTGAAGAGCCAGCCTTCTGAGTTCAATGAATACAACATAAAGGCCACTGCTTCTTTCAAGATCCCAAACTTCAGACACTCTCTAATAACACCGTATTGAACCCCAGGAGAACCACACACAAGTTCAACTTTGGGAACATGTTACATGTTCCACCCATTTTTAGGGTGCAACATGTAACATGTTCTCCATGCTGCAGCCGCTGCCCCCCCTCCCTGTGACAGCAGTACGGGGAACTTCCCTGTACTAGCTGTCACCTTTAAAACAGCGTGGCCGTGCAGGACTCCACCCACACGGCCACGTCATTCATTCATTCACAGAGGTCTGTGAATGAATGAACTACAAGTCCCGGCAGCCTTAGCTGCTGTCCGCTTGTAGTTCTCAATGAACTACCATGGCACTGTGGAGCATCGTGGTAGTTCATTGAATCTTGCTGTCAGTATATCTGCTCGCCTAGTAAATCTCATACGGGCAGATATACTGACAGGTCTGCAGAGACCTGCATGGCACTAGTGATCTGATCGCTGGCGCAATGCTTTACAGGGTCCTGCACCCAAAAATAATAAATGCACATTTTCTACCTGAAAAAAAGGTGAACTTATCCTTTAAGCTAAAGTCTGTAATGCACTTCAGAAACTATTTTATCTTCCACAGTTGTTGTGCATGAGAAGACTGAATTATGGAAACGCACACAAGATGAAAGATTCTTTTCAAAATGAAAGTGCTATTAAGCACAAAAGCAAACGTTTATGATACTGCAGCTTACCACTTCTTAGACGTGATGGCTGCATTAGTTTTTCTTTGTTAGCTTTCTTTTTTTTTATCTGGTGATCCTGCTAGTAAGTCTGCTGTTTTTCAAAAGACAAGCTCTTTTGCAGATCAGTATCAGTTTACAGGGATGGGACAAACCATTTAACAGTGGCAGGGGTGTTTACAATGATCAGCCTTTACTTATGTAAAGCCTTTAACCCACAAAGGAAAAAAAAACTGTTTGCTGTAACTGCTTATAGTGTGAGCTGGAGTTCAGCTTCAGTTTGATAGTGTATTTAAATCTGCTAGTACATCTAACACTACCCTCCCACCCAGACTGACAATGCTGTGATTCGCTGTGCCCCCTGTGCTCATTCATCCAGAGTGGGAAGCAATCTAATACAAGAGGTTTGTTACTCGCTAGATCATCAGGTGAAAACAGAGGGGAAAAAAAGCCTAAAAAATAAAACAAATGCAGCCATCACATCTAATGATTGGTAAGCTGCACTGTATTACATTTACGGTTCTGAGTTTAATACCGCTTTAAAGGGCCACACATTATAAAT